TCCACCGTGAGCTTAGACTTGGTTATATCTCCTCTGTAAATTCCTCATCCTTGTTGTCATCCTCAAAGAATCTCCTTGTCGTGTTGTTTGAAATTCATATGTGGATTGAATTTCTAGAAATTTCATGTCAATATTGGACCATGAATTACTTCCATCATTTTTTCTGTTAAATTTTATCTTCGGTGTAATAAACTAACCACCCTTTCTGTGTGTTTTATAAAGTACATGCTTTTCCTTTACCTGCACCATTTTCATTTGATTGTGGATGTCATGAGGCTCAAAGGCGGAGGATGTTGCAAGTGACTCATCATCCAAAGACATCGGAAAAATGATACATGTATCATAATTTACTTTTGAAACCAAATCATCTGAACTGCCTCAGCTCTTTTCATTGTCATCACTCTTTTTGAAAGAATAGTTAATATTCTTTAAAATTAGGCTTTGTTCAATGCAAAATCCTTTGTTTTAATCGACTCAAAAGTCAAAACATGGAAAATGCATTCAGAATTTGAAAAAAGTTGCAACGGTTCTCAAAGTGCATTTTGCACTGCCCTTGCACGTGCTTGTGGATGGTTCAATGCTTCTTTTGGTTTAGTGAAACGATGAAGGAGAGAAGATTATTTGACAACTCTATGAGCCGGAGAAAACTCTGAATTTTTATGATACATCTTGAAATTAAAATATGTCCATTGCAATTGAATTCATCATTGGTTTGGACAATCTCTCTAGATATAACTATTCTATGAATTTAAATTAAATTTTGGTAAAAAAACTTATCTTACAAGCACAATGTAGAATAGATAAGGTTTTGATAATCAAATTTGATGCTTGAAAATTGAGATGTTATTTTTTTAAAAGATGTTTGCAAGAATGTTTAATTTCTTTAAAGACAAGAGTGTTAAAGAAATGTAAAACAAAATTATTTTGACTAAAAAAAACAAGAAAATATTTTCTTTGCAACATTGTGGTAAGGAGTGATAAAAAATTATGATCATACATAATGAAGGGGCAACTGATGTGTGACTACACATTTAAGACGTTATACAAGCTTAATGTTGACATTTTATTAAGTTTGTTGTCAATGAAGTATTCAACCATTAAAAAAAATCATGTGACATGAGTGTCAATATCATTTTCCCTGTTAACATCGAAATGATATCAAAGTTTTTTTTGTGAAATCAACTTCAAAATGAACTAAATTTTCATTTGCACACAAATTACATAAAGGTGAAAGTATATAATTTGTACATAAAAAAAAAGTTTTACATTTATTTTAGTCGAAAGTGGAGCATTGCACATAGATAGGATTCTCTTTTACTCGCACTTCTGTTGCATTTAAGAAAGACATATCCAAAAATTGGATGAATATGCTACAACTTAACTTATTACACATACAAGTATCAAACTGAAAATAAAACATAATGAGAGATTTCTTCTAGATAAAAAAAAGTAAGATTTCTCTTCAAACAAATTGATTAACTATCATCAATGCTTAGATTATATAACATTTGAAATTGCTTGGTGAAATATTGAGGTAAAAACCAAAGAAAATTTTTTTAAATATTCAGGAAGATATGATTAAGACTGCATAAAATTTACATGCAATGTAATGAAGGTACACTCCAACTTGATAATGTATCAATAAGTCCAATATCAAAGGAAAGTAAAACTTAATATTGACTCTCACTAGAAGAATTATGTAGCAAGAAAATGATAGATGTATTACTCTTTTATAATTAGTGTTATATAAATCATTAGCACAATCCTTTCAGTAGTTTATTTTTATTTTTTTGTGCATTGTGATGATTTTTCAAGAAAATAGTTCAAATTGATGGATCTTATCAAAATATATAAGTTACAAAAAAGTCATGTCAATGATAAAAACCAAAAAACATAATCATTTTACAAAGTATGTTTTTTTTTCATATCAGTGGCAATTATCTTCTAAAAAAAACATTGTTTATGTGAAAAACGTCAACCTTTTAAAATTTATTTAGAAGGATAATCTTAATATGGATGAGAAAAAAATAAGGCTTGGCTATCTTAAAACACATGTCAATTTGAAAAAAAACCAAATCGTGTTCAACGTGAACATTAGACATTTTTACTTTCCAAAAATTCATTTGGAGAAATTTACTACTTCTTTATTTTTTGAAGCTTATTTATGAAAATATGTAAATTCAATAGATTGATAGGGTACATATCAATAGTATCAAGATCTTGAAGAAATAGAACAACATGGCATTGATCAAATCATTTGCAATCACTATTAATCTAAAACATTGTAAAGTATATTAGCCATTTTGAATTAAAAAAGCTAGTTCAGCTTATTAGTTTGTAGATGATTTTATGAGATAATCAAAATAATGATACATGTATCACTCCTTAAGATCTAAAAGTATCACTACTTTGGAGTGATACATATATCAATACTTTAGTTATAACGTTATACAATCCACAAATAATATTGACATAACTTGAAACTTCAAATACACTATTTTTTAAATTTTTTTTCCTAATATTATATCCGTAGTTGAAATCATGGAGCCAATGCATGTAAGATGTTGTACAAAGTTCATGAAGAATCACATATTTGACAGTAGATATTTGTTGGAATTAATGAGTAAGAGAGTTTTTTTGTTATGTGAAAACACAATCTTGATCAAGAGTACCAAAAGAACATGAAAATAATCAATATGATTAGGAATTATTATAAGATTTTCTTAATTGAATAAAAGATAAAACTCAAGCTTCTTTAAGTTTCCATGCACAATACGGTGTAATTAAAAGGACAAAACAAACCCTCAACTCCACTTAAGAAGAAATTTGCAAAGAATGATCCACAAAAATTGTCAAGCTTGATATTGATGACATCAAGTAAATGAAATGAAAGATTATTCAAGGAATTTAAGAAAAAATCGACATTAACAACCTTATCATTAATAGAAAATTTTGGTTACAGAAATGAGCATTGCATCATACATAAAAATCAGAATGTGTTGCACAAAAAAGTCAAAAGAAGCAGATGACATACCAATGAGAAACCACCCATTCCAAATTAAATTTTTATTTTAAGAAAAATCTAAATTTCTTTTTTGAATATCATTCAAAATTTCAAGACTACAAAAACCATGTAAACATTCAATAATGTGATTCACCCGAGATTCAATCTAAATCATGTACAAAACACATATCAATAATACTTCGCTTTATTTCATCAATTTACACAAAAAATCTTTCAAACAATTATACTTCCTTCTTGAACTTACACTTCATGACTAAATCTTTACGTGTGATCCAAACTTAATAAATTCTTTTGTTGAATACTTCCGTCTTCTGATCAATCTTTTAAGATTCTTTCTTAGTTTCAAGAGCTTCAAATTTGGGGTGGAAACTGATTTTTTCAACTTTCAATCACAATGATCATAGTGACAATCCAAGATTATATAACACTATATACTCTTGGACTTACACTATGATCATTTGATCTGGATTAAGTCCATATGAGGATCCACATTAATATGTATTTTTATGACAAATCAGATATGTCTCTTGTAAATAATATCCATTCAAATTCAAAGTTTGACCAATTTGAAATAAAACTCAAGATTCCTTCATATGAATTCAAACTCAAAGTATAGTGAACAAAATTAATACCACTTCTTCCCTCCTCAACTAACCAAGTTGTTCTCAACGTGTATCATACATTATACTGGGTTTTTGATCATCCGGATAAAACCAGCTGCCCAGTTTATATATCACCACCAAATCCATTATGACCGTGGCTCCAGACTATTATGGCCAAGGAATGAGCTTATGATGCTATCAACCACTATTCATCACACCAGCTGTCATCCTTGCATGTATTAATGTTGAATCCATTCATTATAGCCAAGTAACTCCACACGATTATAGCCAAGGAGTCAACTTATGATGCTATCAACTACCTCATCAAGTAATGAGTATATGATACTATCAACCACTTCATCATCTTCGCGGGTATTAATGTTAATTTCATGGATGGAAAAAATGATAAAAAAGCAAAAATCTATTGGAGATGGCTTTCAAACCAACAGAAATTTGTAATGTTGAAGTTGAATGTGACATGTTAGACATCTACTCTCTTAGCTATTTGTGACGTCTTGGACCCGGGGAAAGATACCAGCATTTTGGACTCGCGGGAAGATTCTAAATGCTAAAAGTTCAATGATTCTCCAAGAAGCTGGGGCATTGCGAGAATCCGACTCCCGGCCTCTTTCACCCAAAGCAAGAATCATACTACTAGACCAAATGCCCGAACGCTAATCACAAACTCCCCCTCTACAACAGTTCAGTGTAAATCATATATGCAATCATATGTACTTAATATATGCAAAATTCTTCTAATAAAAAACATAGATTCAGAAAAGATGAGTGTGCGACGCCCTGATAGTAAAATGCAACATGCCGATCTTGGTCGCTGTCAGATACATCCAGAAACAGTCACTGCACATATGACTCGGCTCGGATATGATTCTCATCTCACCTCAGGTGGCAGCTCCATATGACAATTTCTTGCTTCCTGCGCTTGATAGTCACACTGAAATGTTCCCCGTATCAAAAAAGACTTACTAATAAAGAAGACTGACTAGTTCTCATGATTTTTGTAGGGAATTCTCTTGGACCCTTTGACAACGGAAGTCTGACGTAAGTTGATAGGCCAGTTCGGACGTTTCGGTCGTTCACAACGCTTCATTCAATCTTTCTTGAATAGGCTTTGGAAGAGTATATCTTTGGTCTCTTCAGCACAAGCACATCTAACATGAACGTGGAGGTAGATCCCATTTCAGTTCCACACCCTAATTTTCAACTTACTCACAATCAAAGATAATAAAAGGTATACTCTAAACATTGAAATCCTCGCACAGAAGGGATAAACTTGGGTCAACTGCTCAAACCCGATGGAACACAGGGAAAGACAACGTGAAGTTAAGTGAGACCCCTCGAACAGGACGTATTTAGGGGCATTGAGAGGACCGAACTCGCGGCCTCTTGCACCCAAAGGAAGAATCAAATCACTAGACCAAATACCCGAAAATTTTATCACTGGGAATATACGTTTCCAAGATCGTATGTACAAACTTCCAGTTCCGAAACGCCGGTTTAGGGTTTAGGGTTTGAAGCTGCACCAAGACCACTACGATCACACTCTCCTCGCGAACAGGAGAAAGAAGTGCCACATGACGACACAAAGGACTAAATACTTCATCCAGGAAAGGCGTGCTTGTGACAAGCTTTGCTTCTTACCACACATCACCATCGTAAAGGCTGAGACATGCGAACCGTGTACACCAAATCGGCTGTTCAATGAAGTCTTCAACTGGACGTCCACAGGCAGAAGAAGGGAAGACCAGAACGTGTCAAAAACCTTGTCAACTTCCTCGAGAGATACTTTACTAAGTAGAATAACACCACGCTGCAGAGAACGTTGGAAAAATAGAGCAACGCGTAAGAACACCAGTAACTTGCAGAGGCTTGAGTATAATGACAACCCACCAAACGCAACCACAAGTTACTGTACACTCGTCCCTTTCGTACATATTGATCACAACGTGTCCTGAACATTTTGTAAAATCCTCGAAAGATACTACAATGACAAGAAAGACTCCACGTTTCAGAAGCGTCCTGGAAAACTGAAAGCAACTCGTAATAATACGAGTACACTGCAAAAGCTAAAGTAATATGACTCTGCCCACCCCGGCTTGCTGTACACATGTCCCCTTCTAACCGTTTTGAGAAAAGTAGAAAATGCAGGGGCATTGCGAGAATCGAACTCGCGACCTCTTGCACCCAAAGCAAGAATCATACCACTAGACCAAATGCCCGCGATGTGATAGAAAGGTAAATTACTTCATACCAATGACATATGAAGACGTTCAATATCTACCAAGGCGGTTCACTTCCACTCTAAAGAATGAACGTATGTGCTATGCAGATGCACAGCACTCTGCGGCTAAGCTCCAAACCTGGAACAAGTTTCAGTAAAAGAAACCATATTGCAGAAGGGGCGAGTTGATAGTACATACCTGGTATAGACTAAGACTAAGCATAAGCGCTGCTGTAGACATTTATACGCAAGACCAACTCTGAAATATGTGATTAAGAAGAACATATAAGCAGAGAGAAGTGCCTCCAATGCCCAAAACATCCGATGAGAATTCTCGGACACAAGTTGAGAGCTGTGTCACCACACCACCTGGAAGATCTACGCTCGGAGATGGTATGATAGTTCAACTAACAGTCGAATCACGCTATCGGTTCTCGACCAGCAAATCCGAGCACAACAATCGGAGCGCTTTCTTGACTTTATGTGGCACACGCTTCATGAGCTGCATGAATTACACCACGAATAATTGGCATGCGCTTCGAGTGTTGAACTCCCAAGTGCCTTCTAACTTCCTTACTCCCCAGCGCACTATTCATAATCCATGTCAGAGCGGGACAGCAAGACAAACAGCGTGCTCACAGCCACTGCTCGCTGAAATTAGGTGCACAATACTGCTGCGACGGATAAATTCCTCGCGTCCGCTTGATAGGTAGGGCGGTGGCAGTGTGACAAGAAATTCAATCGACCAACGTCACGTTGAGCACGGCACCAGCACAACGCAGCGCTGTTGAAGACCACCATACATGATCCCAAGCTCGAATGTGAACGACACAACCATGAGCTTGACGCATTCCACATAGAAAACAGTGCGAACGAATGCTTACGAGTAGACGACAATTGTCTGGTAAGTAAACCCTAATTTTGCCTGACCAAGAGCTAGAAGCTTCCGTGACAGTCCGAGGAACTCGGAACAACACCACTACCGATGATTGTAGCCGCCAAACACCTTGTGGCCACCAATTTTAGTGGAGCCAGGGAGAAAAAGTACTGCACCGTACCGGTATTTCCTTGAATCCGACCAGTCTGTAAAAATGGCTATAAAAGGACTAGGTGTTGAATTGCTGAGGTCACCCTGTCCGATACATGAGTGCCACGACGAAGGAGTGTTCTCCATCGACACTATGGTGACAATAGAATACGGGGACCTGAACGACTTTCTGCTACTTCTCTTTCCAGATTCATTAGCGAATGTTGTCTGAAGTTTTTAGCAGATTGCCAGCTGCAGTTGGAACTTTTACAGCAAGACACTTGTAGTGTCTTGCTGTAAAAGTTCAGAAGCAGACTACCGACAGTTAGGTGTAGCATTAAGTAACGTGCACACTGGACCAGAGTGTAGATACACATCAGTTTGCAGAAAACTACAAAGTTACAGATGAAGACCACCAACGAAACGGAAGGGTTTGTATTACACATAGTAAGTACGCCCTCGAGGAACCTCTAACTTTTCTTTCACGGGTGGCACATTATACTTAATTGATTCTCTCTGAATTTCTTGCCGATTGTCCAAGAATTAATCACTAAGTTGATGCTTAGCGCTAAGATGAGTAATACGAGTGGCATATTTCATTTCATTGGAAAGTGTAGATGTATCAAACGCCTGACCAGAACATGGATCATTTTGCAGGTAGAGTGATCATGATAAGGGTATAGATGCTTTTTTGACATTGTCATGATGCATCCATCCATTACTTTAGACAACGTATCTGCATTGCATTGTCTTGGACTCTTTAATCGATCAAAATATTATTTGGATTGGTGATGATTTTTCTAGACTTCAAACTATCACTATTTCATGTGATTTGAATGTAGATGACATTAGATTTGTAGGGTCATATTAGTTGAAAACATAGTGATTTATTGGGAGAGATATTTGCTCTTTGCTTTTTTCTCCCCTAGGTTGGGTTTATACTCTGGTCTATGCTGTTTCACCACGACTCTTTTTTTCTCTCATTTGATCATACCTCACAAAAATATAGCTTCCCAAATTCTCCAATGAATAGAGTGATGATAAGTTTGTTTTGGTTACTCATAAGCTCACAGGTTGGTAAAACAGTTGTCGATCTCACCATTATAAATCTTCGTTTGATTTGGTTACTGACAAATTGTGCCATTTCATGCCTACAAAGTAGAGTTAGAGATACATATTGCAGTAGCTGCTCAATGTCATTCTCAATACAATAATTCTGTTTAAATGGTCGATATCAAATCAGATCGACAGTACATTCTCAGTATCAATTTGGGCCACTTCCAACAAAGATATGGGTACTCATCATTTCTAGATACATACTTTTTCAAACTAGGCGCATGTTCGTAAAACTTGAAGTTTGAAAATTTTTCTTCGGAGAGAACGTAAAATTAGAATTTATTTCCCTTTCTGCAAATTTGGAATATGTATATGTCAAATCTTTTTTGATTAATATACGTAAGATTCACTTCAAATTATAATACTTGACATTTCTGTCAAAATTATAGTACAGATTCAGATTTTCAAACAACATTAAACATGTATTGTCTTGACAACGCTCATTCGGTAATTGTGCATGGAAATGTGGAATAATCAATTATGTTCACACTTTTTATCAAAACTCAATTTAATTTTCTTCATCATACAGAGATGATATTTTGCTTCCACACACAGAATGGAATTGTGCTTGACAGTCAGTTTATATCTACGAACACTACTAGAAAGGCACTTTGCGAACGGTTGCAGCTCAATCTGGAGATAAATCCCAAGTGCAGAACTCGATTTTGTGATAAATAATGATGTTCAGGCTGCCTCTTCTTCTTCGTGCTGAATTTATGTAATCTTCTTGCTGAATTAAGTCTGCACAAGCCCGCAGCTCCGAATGTGTTCTGTGAGGGGAAAATTGCGGCAGATTGGGCTTTATCTCCATATTGAGCTGCCACGTAGAAATCAAAGGTGACAACTACATTCCACTGTCTTCAGCCTCTGATCACTATTCTAGTTCCAAGACCGTGAATTCCAGAAATCAGAGCATTGATATTATACCACTTTGAATTCTCAAGATGGCTGGACCGCTACTGAGTTCTATCTGTCCTTATGCGTAGTCAAACGTCAATGCAGACCTCTGCATTTCCAGGTAGACCTGATAAACATGGACGTCCTGCAACATTTGAAACATGTAACGAACACCCACTACTCTCACGGGATTGGTACAAGTACGCCAGGTTTGATGAATAACTTCTCTTGCGTTCACTTTTACATTGAATAACAGACACAACCATAATTTCTCCCGCTACACACATCCTCAAAACCGATCTACTAATCGGAGTCTACTCTTCACATGTTAGGTATATATACTGCCACGTTCTGTCTATTGTGAAAAAACAGAGTTTAAATGCAGCCTGCTGACGCGAGGAAGTGTATGAGATAAAGCATATCCACCTCCGAAACTCCAACACACCGGACTGTCGTCTGTATCTCCTCACATAGCCCATCTGCAGTGCAAGTGGACACAGTACAATTCAGATATGCCACAGATATCAACAAAATGCGTTCTAATATATAACAGCTCCAGCAAGAATAATGGAAGTAACACTACCTTAAGTACTTACTGCCTGTTTAGCTTTGTGAAATTTAGAATCAATTAAACTCAGCTCAATGTCCTATTCCACGGAAGATGAGAACGTTAAACAAGGGAGCGACATAAATTAGCATGGCAACTGGTTCAGCTGATCTTGTCGAGAATGAAGTGATGCAAAATTTCCACAGGCTCGGATGCACACGTCTTCTGAAGAAGTTTCCCGTTCGGTTTTCTCCTTAAAGCTGTTGCCGAATTAGATCCACAGGTTTAAGGAAGAAAACCGAGAAGGAGACTTCCCGGAGAAAGATTGCGTCCACGACGTCCTCACTGTGACAAACAACGCTTTTTAGTAGTTGCCCGCCTATCAAAGTCGACAGTCAGAAGACCCCTGGAGCTCAATGTTCTCGCCACTGCCATTCCACGCGGGCGTAGTTTTCCCTGGCACGCGCGGACCAGAAGTGGCTAGAAAAATGATCCCGGAGTCAATTGTGACAAATCACAAGGATTTGTAATCCACTAAGCGGCCGCCGTGGAGTGTACTGAACTAGATAGATCTCAAACTTCACACCTACACACCGATCTCCAGCGACAGAATCAGCCT